TTTCTGTTTCTGGTTCGTGGTGTTCTCACCTATCTGCTAAAACAAAATTTTACTAGTTATGGACGGACACTTTTGATATGTGTTAATATGGAAAACAAAAAAAGTAATTTCTTTAAATATTTTTTTTAAAAAATTGTAATTTAAATATTTTTTAAAAAATATTTTAATATTATTACATCAAAAATAGCACTTTTTGGAAACTTCTTTTTTTTTTTTTTAAATTTTTTCGTTGTAAAATTATATTATTATTTTTTTAATTAATTTTGCCACATCTATTCATCATAGTATAATTAAATACATGAGTGAAAACATTTCAACAAATTACTCCAAAAATTTGATGCTTATTACAATTTAATATTTAATATTTTATGTTATAATGTGATTCATTATATTTCTATTTATTTCAAATTAAATATTTGAAATAAATAAAAGGGGTTGTAAAATTAAGTTGTAACAAAAATAATATTAAGTATGAAATTGTAACAGCAATTTTTCTTTATTTTATTATGTATATATAATTACTTTTTATGTATTAAATTAATATTAAGATTTAATAGAATATATATATATATATATATATATATATGATGGTACACTCGTTGACAATGTGTGGAGTAGCACATGTGCTTTTCAACACACACATACAGTCATTCATACATATACATATATATATACATATTGTTTTAATTAAAAACAAGTGTTGGATAGAGTTAGGTTAGAAAGGAGAGCAAAGCTCAAAGTCTTGATCTTAAACTCAATTAACACCACAACAAGTAATTCAAACTCTTCTCCAAACTCCAACTAAAACTCTCCCAAAACTTATTCTTCCTCCAAACCCACCAACAATTTAACCCTACCCACAAAAGAATTCTTATAGTTCATTCAAGTTCATCAATGAAAAATCCCATCTCTCCTCTTCCATCCCATCTACCACCCCTTCTAACCTGTTTTCTGATCTTCATTTCTTCCATCTCAAACACAGCAGCAATGCCAGATGATTCTGATCAGTACAGTAACTTACTCTACAAAACTTGCACAACCCAAACTTTCAGATCTTCTAACCATGCCCAAGCCCTTTCCTCCTTCTTTCAGGACCTCCTAGCCCAATCTTCCCAATCCAAATTCTTCAAAACCACAGCTGGAGACGAAAACGGTGCCGTTTCAGGCCTCTTCCAATGCAGAGGAGATCTCAGCAACAACGAGTGTCAAACCTGCATAACAACCCTCTCTCACCTTTCAAACTCCTTATGCCCACAATCTGTCTCTGTTCGCTTTCATCTTCCGGGGTGCTATGTTCTCTACGAAGCTGAAGGTCTCACTGGGGTAAGTAATGGTGATGAGGACCGCCATGAAAATGTGCACAAAACTTGCAGGGGAGGAAAGGTGGTGGGAAGGGAGTTTGAGGAGATGAGAGATGGTGGGTTTGCAGCCATGGAAAGTGGGATGTGGAAGATGATGAGTAAGGATGGGTTTTACTCTGTGGATTATCAACTGGTCCGTGTCATGGCGCAGTGCCAAGGAGACTTGCTGAGACATGTCTGTGATTGCGGTGAATGTGTGAGCAGCGCGCTGGAGATTGTTAGTGAAGAATGTGGCGGATCAGTTTCAGGCCAAGTTTATTTGGACAAATGCTTTGCTGGATATACTTATTATCCTTATGGAATACCAGGCTAGTCATCATATATCTATACATATACATAGATATTTATATACAGATAGTTAAAAATAATTATTTGTAAATTATAAAGAATTCTTTGCCCTAGTAAAGAGTTAAAACATCTTTATCTTACAACACACACACACACACACACATATATATATATAATATACGTAAGTAATTTAAGGGATGCATTAGTTGATAATGGTGTATATTTGAACAGATGAGAAGAAGAACGGAGATAATACAAGGAAGTCAGTTGCAATTGTTTTGGGAGGAGCAGCGGCTTTGATCTTCGGGTTTATTTTCTTCTTGGTCCTCAAGAACTTGGGGAAGAAGGATGATGGTAAGAATAAACCAAGTAATTTTATTCAAGGAAGAAATTTTAGAATTTAGTAAAATTTTATTTCAAATTCATTGCTTAATTTATATTATATACAAAATTTATTTCGAAATTAAGTAAACTTTAATTTTTATAAAAATATCAATTTATATTTAATACGAACATTCGTTAATAATCACAAAACTAAATCAGAATAGATCGATTCAGAATATATCAAACCGAACAATAAAAAAAATTACATACCGAAAATCTGAGTCCTTCTCAATTATTTCATGCAGTTTACATTAAAATAATTTTTTTACAGTCCTATTTGAAATATACTATTCTTTATTTTTAAAAAATATTCTTCTTTCAAGAATTAACAAATAACATAAATGTGTATGTATGTATATACACATATGTGTAACTTGGGTTTTTGTATATTGTATTTTTAAGTTTATTGTGTGTATATATATATATATATATATATATATATATATATATATATATACGAGCTGAATAATGCAGCTTCAATATAAATGATAATCATGTTCTGCTGCAGATTGTTGAGAGCAGTTGAGCGCCTGTTGATTTTCCTCTGAGGTAGGTGGTCGACTGACTACTGCTGATGACTCACTTTCCCTCACGGAGCAAAACGACGTCATGCCCCTGCGTTTCGATTGGTGAAATTAGGTGCTGGTAATTAGTAAATCCTCAAAATAAATATTCATTTATTATTTATCTTTTAATACCAAAATTTAAGTTTATATACTTTTTCAGTTTCTTATATGATTCAAAATTATATTTATCATCTTTACATTATTTAATAAATATATTTATCACGATTATAAATTTTTGGCTAGAATAATTTGTGATTTGAAATATAATTTTTATTAATTAATCACATAGATTTATTCTCCGATAACATAATAACAATCATACACATATTTGAAAATTTTTGCATTATGAAATCATGTATAAAATGTACATATTTCTAGTAATTATTAATATTAATTTTTAAATACATGTGATGCGAAATTCATGATCAACGGTGTAATTCAGAACTCACAAAATATTCATAAGACATCAAAATTTTAAATTCTAATAAATTCTCTCTACTTAACTCGCTATCAATAAAGTGATATAAACTAAGATAATCAGAAAAAAATTACGAGTATATCTGGATAAGTTGATCCGATTCTTTACTTAATGAAAAAGTTAAAAATATCTTATTAGTTAGAAATAACTT